GCTTCCTGGTACGTTTCCTTGGCCTAAAGAGAACCAAACAGCATTACTAATTTAAAAAGGTATTCGGCAGTATTCCTTGTATTTTTTCCATTCGTAGGCGGAGAATAAAATAATTGAGGATTAGTGCCATTGGATGAGTCGAAAAGTTGGCCGATTAACTCTGAGTGTTCTAAGATCAATGGATTATAGATTAGTGTTATAATAGGCTGATAGGGAGAGTGGGCAATTAAAGGTGTTGGGCAATTAGTTAATGTGTCTACGTCGTTGCTGCAGGGTGACGAGGTAGGAGGCATGAACACACACGCTGAGTTCATCTTCGGCCAAGGCGACCTTAGGATCTTTTTAAAGTTAATCCGGGCAAGCCGACGTGAAAGTCCACTTTGCTAAATATGAACAGAGCGTACCTGACGAAGTCCTGTTTAATATTAAGTCTTACGTAATAATTTTAAAGTGCATTTCGTATGGAAAAATAGACAGGTTAATTCACAAATTACTACAGTTTTATTCTACTATGTCAGAAATCTACTTCTTGTCAGCAACCTACTACTTAGCCTTGAAAACAAGGTTACACTATCCTTTCAGACCTGTGCATTTATGCCTTCACCTGCTCCCGTGGAAAGGCTATCCTTGTTGGACAACTAGGCGCCTCAATTATTTGACCTTTATAATATTTTTTTGCCCAATACGGATTTCAGTACTTTATTCGAAAAGCTTACCTCAAGCCGTTCTCGACACTTTGCCACAATACGCGTTTTACCAATCTCTGCCTCGAAATGGTAAATAGCGGCGTCCGCGTCAATCGGAAAGACGAATCGTGTCTCAACCAAATCCTTGGAGTCATTTTTGTAGACGAGTTTACAAGTAACATTAGCAACCAGGTTGTGCACCTCGGCATGAACAGATATCTCTTTTAGCGGGACATCCTTCAGGGCAATGCCATTTGTGTCGAACAATCCAGCGCCGTCACCTCGGAAAAAGAGTAAACGAAATGATTTCTTACAATTTCGACGAAACATATGTCGCAAACGTTTCCTATGAGCACTACTTGGGTCAAGCTGTATGCAACACTTTTATTTACAGGCCTGCAAAAGCGACGACACGAACACTGGCAGCGGCTCTGTACTGGCCTTGCCTGTTTGCAGTAGCCTCTGACAGTTAATCAGCCAATCACGGCCCTGCCACCCGACGTGTTCATCCAACCACGTAAGAGTCAACAAACTGCGCACGCGCTCACGTGACCTGTGCGTGTGGCGTATGAATCATGCAGGCCTGCTGGCCAGAACGCAGGGTAGGTGGGCTGAATAAGCCTACAAAAACAGTGAAAGTAGTCGCAGGAGAGAACATTTTTGCGCATAGCGGTAAAGTCTCATTAAGGGCTTGCAAGTGCTTACTCTTTCATTCTACTGGATTGCCATTAACCGAACATTTTTTGATTAGAAACATTTTCCTTGGCAGATTTACTTAGGTGCACTTCGATTAATATAGCAGAATGTATGGCGTACTGATGCCAATCAGCGAGTTCTATGCATTTTCCAATATTAGTTAAAACGAGTTATTTAAATTTGCCTAAAATTTTTGTAAACTATTAGAGCTTATTTGCCATGTAGTATATTCTAAACTCATTGCATTCAGCTTACTTTATTAGGCTTGTTGTAATCAATGGGCTATCGCAGACTCAGCGGTTAAGTTGATCGATACGTCGTTAACTCCTGACTCTCTTTGGGATCTTGTAGTTCAGGTGCTTATAGCGTTGGCTTTAAACAAACCGTGCCACTACTGCCGTGGGTTGGAGTCCAACCGAGGCCACCACAATTGAGTCAGCTTAAATTACGCACAAGTGACCAACCCGCTCAGTGCCATATTTTTAGCTGAAATGCCCATGTCAGTTTTGATAGCA